TCTAATCTATCTATCTATCTGTCTATCTATCTTCTATCTATCTATCTATCTATCTATCTATCTATCTATCTATCTATCTATCTATCTATCTATCTATCTATCTTCTATCTATCTATCTTATATGTATGTATGTATCTATCTTATCCATCCATCCATCCATCCATCCATCCATCCATCCATCCATCCATCCATCCATCCATCCATCCATCCATCCATCCATCCATCTATCTATCTATCTATCTATCTATCTATCTATCTATCTATCTATCTATCTATCTATCTATCTATCTATCTATCTTCTATCTTATATGTATGTATGTATCTATCTTATCCATCCATCCATCCATCCATCCATCCATCCATCCATCCATCCATCCATCCATCCATCCATCCATCCATCCATCCATCCATCCATCCATCTATCTATCTATCTATCTATCTATCTATCTATCTATCTATCTATCTATCTATCTATCTATCTATCTATATATCTATCTATCTATCTATCTATCTATCTATCTATCTATCTATCTATCTATCTATCTATCTATCTATCTATCCATAGGATAAGGGCAAAAGGATTAACCTACTTTAACTATTTTATGTTTTTGTTTATGTTACAGTTTTTCTCAGTGCATTTCTCACAACAGTTAATGCATTTCTCAAAACAATTAGTAAAAACTGCAAAACCTAGTAGATAACCAGCAAAAACGTGTCACATGCTTAAAATGGAGAGCTCATTCCTCAAAAGCAAGTATTCATGTCAATGAAAGTGTCAGTATCATCAAGATGAAAAGTCCTGACACCATTGTTTATGAACAAGATAGTTAAATAACTGTGTCATGTTTTCATTTTTAACTTACCCTGTACATTTTTTCAATGCAAAAAAGTCTGATTTTACAGTTTTTCTCAGTCGCTTTGGTGCGTTTCTCAACACCAGTGTGTTTCTGCACAACAGTTAATGCATTTCTCAAAACAATTCGCACAAACTGCAAAACCTAGCTGATAACCTGCACCTCCTGACACCATTGTTGATGAATAAGATAGTCAAATGGCTTTGTCATGTTTTCATTATGACAGTTTACTCTGGACATTTTTTCAATGCAAAAAAGTCAGATTTTTGGGGACACTTCCTGAAAATGCTCAAGACAGCACTATATACTATTTGCACAGCCATTTGAAAACTACAGCAAAGTTATTAATATTGCAAAATATATTGGAACTGAACCTACAACATACACAGGTCTGTAAATCATTTATCAAATTTTCATATTCAGGAAACATTTTTAGGATTTTTTTTTTAAAATAAAATTACCCTGACAGATTTTGACAACTAATTCAACATTTATGTATGTAATGACTCCAGTAATGAAATAAGGACTGTTAGTTTTATATGAAATGATTATTAAGCATTCACAAGTTTAATTAATTATGACTGACAATAACACAAGCAGATGATAATGTTATTAACAGCAGAGAGTTGTGTGAAAGCAATTGCTGCATGACCGAAAGCATCTGCAATGTGTTGGAAGGAATGAGAAACTGCTACTGTGATGTGCACAAATTACTAATCGTTTTGAGAAATGCATGAACTGTTGTGCAAGTGTAAATAGTGTTTTGAGAAATGCACCAAAGCCACTGAGAAAAACTGTAACTATTTTATGTTTTCACTATGATTTAAAGAAAACATCCAATAAAATCTTATTCAAAGTAACAAAAAAGAACAAGCCTTTAAATTGCACTTTAAGCTGAACACTAGTCTCTTGCAAAATAACTTAAATATGATGTATACAAAATAATATTGTTTTTACTTTTGACATAGGATTATTTTGCTTATCACACTGGCAGATAATTTTGCTTGTTTTAGGAAAAAAAAAACACTTGATTTTGACATTATTTCTAAAAACAACACAGTAACAACACAGTAAAAAGGTTATTGATTTAAGAATATATATAATTGAACTAGACAAGACAAAAACTCTTAATAAGAAAAGCTTTTTTTGGCAGGGCACACACTCTCACACACACAAAGTGATTTCTTTACAGCTACTATAATCACGTGCATCAGGGAGCATCAATAACAGCGAACAACAGTGACTGCAAGCACGTTCAGCTTATTTACGCAGGTCTTGTGCTTATTTTAGACTCAAGCTTGCTCTGTTTTCAATTTACTTCACTGACTATCCCACTGGCCTGCTGATAAAGGCCTATTTCTCAATCTCATCCGTTCTCGGTTACATAACAGATCAGCATGCTGTCAAAAATGCTAAGCAAATGTGAAATTTAAGATGTTAGGTGCATGACATAAATGCATACATTTTAAAATAATATTATATAGTTATATTATTTATATATTTTTTCGATAATTGTAATAAAATATGTTGAATTTTTTTGTGTGAATATATATATATATATTTATATATATACATACATACATATATATATATATATATATATATATAAATAATACACACACACACACACACACACACATATATAT